ACTATAGACTAGACTATAGACTAGACTATAGACTAGACTATAGACTAGACTATAGACTAGACTATAGACTAGACTATAGACTAGACTATAGACTAGACTATAGACTAGACTATAGACTAGACTATAGACTAGACTATAGACTAGACTATAGACTAGACTATAGACTAGACTATAGACTAGACTATAGACTAGACTATAGACTAGACTATAGACTAGACTATAGACTAGACTATAGACTAGACTATAGACTAGACTATAGACTAGACTAGATAGACTATAGACTAGACTATGACTAGACTATAGACTAGACTATAGACTAGACTATAGACTAGACTATAGACTAGACTATAGACTAGACTATAGACTAGACTATAGACTAGACTATAGACTTGACTATAGACTGTACTATAGACTGTACTATAGACTAGTGTATAGACTAGACTATACACTAGAGTCTAGTGTATAGTCTAGTCTATACTAGACTATACACTAGAGTCTAGTGTATAGTCTAGTCTATACTAGACTATACACTAGAGTCTAGTGTATAGTCTAGTCTATACACTAGTCTATAGTACAGTCTATAGTACAGTCTATAGTCAAGTCTATAGTCTAGTCTATAGTCTAGTCTATAGTCTAGTCTATAGTCTAGTCTATAGTCTAGTCTATAGTCTAGTCTATAGTCTAGTCTATAGTCTAGTCTATAGTCTAGTCTATAGTCAGTCTATAGTCTAGTCTATAGTCTAGTCTATAGTCTAGTCTACTAGTCTAGTCTATAGTCTAGTCTATAGTCTAGTCTATAGTCTAGTCTATAGTCTAGTCTATAGTCTAGTCTATAGTCTAGTCTATAGTCTAGTCTATAGTCTAGTCTATAGTCTAGTCTATAGTCTAGTCTATAGTCTAGTCTATAGTCTAGTCTATAGTCTAGTCTATAGTCTAGTCTAGTCTAGTCTAGTCTAGTCTAGTCTAGTCTATAGTCTAGTCTATAGTCTAGTCTATAGTCTAGTCTATAGTCTAGTCTATAGTCTAGTCTAGTCTATAGTCTAGTCTATAGTCTAGTCTAGTCTATAGTCTAGTCTATAGTCTAGTCTATAGTCTAGTCTATAGTCTAGTCTATAGTCTAGTCTATAGTCTAGTCTATAGTCTAGTCTATAGTCTAGTCTATAGTCTAGTCTATAGTCTAGTCTATAGTCTAGTCTATAGTCTAGTCTATAGTCTAGTCTATAGTCTAGTCTATAGTCTAGTCTATAGTCTAGTCTATAGTCTAGTCTATAGTCTAGTCTATAGTCTAGTCTATAGTCTAGTCTAGTCTATAGTCTAGTCTATAGTCTAGTCTAGTCTAGTCTATAGTCTAGTCTAGTCTATAGTCTAGTCTAGTCTATAGTCTAGTCTAGTCTAGTCTAGTCTATAGTCTAGTCTAGTCTAGTCTATAGTCTAGTCTATAGTCTAGTCTAGTCTATAGTCTAGTCTAGTCTATAGTCTAGTCTAGTCTATAGTCTAGTCTAGTCTATAGTCTAGTCTAGTCTAGTCTAGTCTAGTCTAGTCTAGTCTAGTCTATAGTCTAGTCTAGTCTAGTCTATAGTCTAGTCTAGTCTGTAGTCTGTATGTAGTCTGTAGTCTGTAGTCTAGTCTAGTCTAGTCTATTCTAGTCTAGTCTAGTCTAGTCTAGTCTAGTCTAGTCTAGTCTATAGTCTAGTCTAGTCTATAGTTTAGTCTAGTCTATAGTCTAGTCTATAGTCTAGTCTATAGTCTAGTCTATAGTCTAGTCTATAGTCTAGTCTATAGTCTAGTCTTTAGTCTAGTCTATAGTCTAGTCTATAGTCTAGTCTATAGTCTAGTCTATAGTCTAGTCTATAGTCTAGTCTATAGTCTAGTCTATAGTCTAGTCTATAGTCTAGTCTATAGTCTAGTCTATAGTCTAGTCTATAGTCTAGTCTATAGTCTAGTCTATAGTCTAGTCAGTCTACATGTCTAGTCTTATAGTCTAGTCTATAGTCTAGTCTATAGTCTAGTCTATAGTCTAGTATAGTCTAGTCATAGTTAGTTCTAGTTGTCGAGTACGTCTAGTCTATAGTCTAGTCTATAGTCTAGTCTATAGTTAGTCTAGTAGTCTTAGAGTCTAGTCTATAGTCTAGTCTAGTTAGTCTATTAGACTGTGAAAATGGCGGGTCATTTGAAAGCACCAAAAGATCTTTATAGCAAATATTATATTATAAGTCCACAACTATGTTTAAATTATTAAAAATAAACTCTTCCGATTTTATTGTAGTTTAGCGAATGTTTATTTTTACCTGCGTATTATATAAATTATAGGTCTTAAATATATTCCCATAGAAATTCCTTAGGCAGTCTAAATTCAATAAAATTTATTTTAAAAAACAACCTTATGAAACATTTTCGAAGGTGAAACAAGTTCTAGCTACAACTAAGTGGACATTTTAATTTATATAATTTTATTTAACCTTATTAACCACACAAATTGCTGATCAGAAAAAGAGTTTGAAAATGAACTTCGCCATCTAATTCCAAGCATTTCAAGAACATAATCATACATTTACTTGAAGAATGGCTTAACTTAAAAATCAGGGGTTTTAAACTGAGTACTAATTCTTTGATATAGTTTTATCTATTTTAACGTCAATGTAATATCGAGATTTTATTGTAAACGTCAAACTAAAACTCATAAATTAAATTTTAATTTATTATTAACCTTTACAACAATATAATATTTATCTATGAAATAACAAATTATAAAACATTGCAATTTTCTGGAAACCCTCTTTTTTGAGTTGTGCTAAATTTGTAGTAAATTTGATTATAATAATACATATTTCTTGAAGTAAGAGTATTATATTGAGCTATAACGAATCTTATATACCCACTATCAAAGCTTGTAGTAAAACGATTTACCCTTTTATTAGATATCCATAAGTACATAGGTATGAATTTTATTATCGTGTATCGGAATTGATGAACACATTAATATGATTTTCGGTATACAGCCTTTGATTTGGATTTGGGTCATCAACCGAGTTCTAATACTAAAATGTTTGAATGGTTTAATGAGAATAAACTTTTATTCTCAAAACGGTGTTAGGGGATAAGGTAAATTATGAACCGATCGACATAGAATGTTGAAAACGATTTTGGATGAATTTTATACATGAATTTTAAAGAAGGTTCTACGTAATTAGGTAATTTTCTGAAACGGACCTTATATGGAGACTTGGATCCAGTATGATCCGATTCCTATTTTCCAGAAATGTTTGAATTACTACATATCTTTTTTAGAAAAATGTTTTGTCAATAACAATATAATTTAACAGTCTCTGGTGGGAATCGAACCCACAAACCCCAAACTGACAGGCTAGCACATTACCAACTAACCTACTGAGTTACCCTTCCTACTGAGTTACCCTTCCTACAAAACTTGTTTTAGTAGAATTTCTTTGCAATACTGGTATTTTTAAGCTAGTTATAAGCATTATAGTAATTTTCTTAAGGGGACCTTATATGGGGAGTAAGGTAAATTATGGACTTATCCTTATAAAATTAAGTACATATTAAGGTTTTTGTTTCCATGAAACTTGTTCATGTATAATTTCATTTTAATAATGGTACTTTTAAGCCCGTTATGAGCTTTCACTTTTGGAAGGGGACCTTATATGGGGAATATGATCAATTAAAGATCGATTTTTTATATAAATAGAGAGATTTTTCCCGCAGAACCTTTTAAAATTAAGTAGGAAGATTTATGTTCCAAAATATTTCTATGACATTTGTTCATACAGAATTTCATAGCAATTATTGTGTTTTAAGCTCGTTATGATCATTTGGACGGGGAACTTATACGTAAGTAGGATCAATTATAGACCGATTCTTAGAAAATTAAATAGGAGACCTTCTATAGGTGTCAATTATAGATCAATGTCAGCCAGAATAGTTTCTGGGTCCTTAAAACAAACTTGTGCAAAATACAATCACATTTTCTTCCTAATTAACATTTTGAAGACGATTTAAATCATATTCCGGGGTTCACTTGTATGGGGGCTATGTGATAGCATGGACCGATATTGCAAAAACATTTTTGATCAATATTTAATATTTTGGGAAATTTTCATCATTCTAGGTCTATAACTCTGATCTCTATCGTACCTTCAATAGATCGTCTAGATCGTCTTAGAAAAAGCCAGATTATATATACACTTTATGGAGTCTACAAACTGAATGACAAAACCAATATACCCCCCCAACTTTTTTGATAGTGGAAATAAAAAAGTTCACAATAAAGTTTTCCACTATCTATTAATAGTACTTTAACATAATCGAACGCCTTTCATAATATTACATATTAATAAATATTTAATTTTTTGTTTGTTTTAATTACCATATGTTTTATGAAAAGATGGCGAGTATATAGATTTCATTGTTTTGTATGTAACACTTTGAATTATTACCCGTTAACACCCTAATGACTACACTTTGAATTCTTTTGATATTATATGATCAAGCTGTAATATACTTCCCAAAATATTATCTGTTGATCAGAGATGTTTGTTTCCAAAATGGACAAAAGCGATTAAACAGAATAAATAGGACCTATACCTATTTGTAAATATGAACCCTAACAAAATTTCTCTCAGAAACAACCAATTAATGTTCAGAATATGTGATTACAAACATTGTTTTATTATGTCACTCAAATTATTTAATTTCCGTTAATATTTTAAGACATCTAGCATTTTAATGAGACTAGCAGGGTAATTAAAAATAAAATGGAAACAAAAAATATCGGTATCGTTTGATGTTTTGGCGGTTAGTATATAAAAATATAGAGTGTTCGGTATAACCGAATATAGTACTCTTGTTTGCCTCTTTAACATTTAGTTTAATATAAAGTTTATTACATAATTCATTTATTAAAGCAAAAAACCAATTGATTGTATATTAATTAAGTTATAAATGAACGAATGCAATATTTTACTATTAATATTTTGTCATTAGTTTAAAACGTTGTCTTAGTTGCAAAACTATAGTTTTAGCGCGTTAAAAAGGACATTTTAATATATATAATTATATATAGTGATCCTTGCAAATCGTAAAAGGTTTTATTGAAATACTTATTTGATTATTTAAATGAGTAAAGTAAACAATTTGTGGAGTGTTTAAAAAATTATAATTAAAACTTAGTGAACAAAAAAAAATGGTGCGTTTCTAATCAAAAATCTAACTGGTCGGCAAAATTAAAGCATTTTTCGTGACACTGAAAAAATTTTATAATTTCAAAACCTATGAGTTCTTGACGTAATTGACTTCAACTTAATCCAGTTTGATCGCCCTCAAGTTGAAACCGAGAAAGTAATTTATAATTTTCTACAGGATTAAACTCGATTCTGGACTCAAAATTCACCTCATCAGTTTTTCGAAATTTTCTGTTCTACATTTAAAAAACTTAATACTATGGGACCCTATTTACCCTGATAAAGTGTTGCCATCCTTAAAAGGACCTAATGGAATATTTGTCTGTTCTTATCACATATAGCATTCAAATTCATGGGGAAAATTTAAGATTTCAATTAGTACCATCATAATAACTCTGACAATACTGGAGTTACTTTCGTACTCACTTGGTATCTAAAGCGATGACTGTAAAGTACCAATGTCAAAAGATACTTATCAAATTTTAATAAATTGCCCATAATAGAGAGGAGTCACATGTCGGGATATAAATAATATTATTTAACTGTATAATTTTATTTTCAATTATTGCATTTTATTGGATAGGCACGTTATAGGGACATTATTAGTCTGAAACACTATCATATAATTCAATTCATATCTTGGAATTATAAAGGCCGCCTGACCTAATACTTCATTCTAAAATGTAAAGCAATATATATGTGATCCAAGCTTTGCCTTAATAGCAGACATGCTGTCGACCAGTGTTAAAAGTTATGGCTATAGAAAGAAAATGTTGTGATAAATAAAAAATGATTTTAATTTTTTTCGTTTTTTATAGAAGAACGAAACTATGTTGATAACAGAATTCTTTAGAAATCGGGAAATATTTATAACCGGTGGAACAGGTGAGTATAAGTGAAACTGAACACTTTTTTCTATTTAAAAATTTTAACAAATTGAGACTACTCCGTACACCATCAAAGGGTGCAAAACTTATCCAAATTTGTATATATAACATTAATTATATCCTAGGCGAGGACCATGTAATCTAATCATGCATTACATCAGAGTAAACCCAAAACTACTCCCATGCTAAAATTATGGGTGTATATAATCCACAACATGGTCCTATGTAATGCAGGCTATGTTGTTTTGGAATAAACATAATCAGTCTACAGGCTGCAGGCTACATTACATAATATTACTAAACGGATCATGTATTCAATAATGTTTACGAGAGCTTATTCAGGGCTTTCAAGAGTAAGATTTTTGTTTCAAAATTATCAAAAATCTGCCATTATTTTACGTGCTAAACCTGAGATATAAAATTGCAAAAGAGAATAATGAACAGAAACCAATATTCTACTGAAAAAAATATCAACTGTGATCTATTTATTCGAATGATCCAGACTGATTTAGGTTACTTAATGATTTTATTTATCAGGCTGAATGAATAGTTTATAAAAGATTCCTTGTATATGTTATATAATCCAAACAAAATAAACTTTCAAATCAAATTGTTTTCAGAAAATGTTTGTGAATTATGATAGAGATAAATGTTTGTCGTTAAATGATCATAAATTGTGATCGAAATACATAAATGATTATCTTATTGACCAATAGCTGTGATAAATATGTATATACACTCGCTTAAGATCACTTGATCTATATGATTTATACTTTTGTGTTTTCATAATTTTTACCTTCGTGAGAAGCCTATCATTCCATTTGTAGTTCCTAAAATCAAGTTTTCCGACCCTATAAAGTAATATATAGAGGATCCTTATAGATAGCGGAGTCGATTTAGCGAAGATCGTCTGTCTGTTTGTGTGTCTGTCCGCATGTATGTTGAAATCAATTTGCCCCAGATATATGTGAGATCCTAATCTTAAATAATACTATCAGACATGCTTTCGAGAAGTTTCCTATTTAAAATCGAAGCATAAATAACGGATATATGATAAAATTTTTAATATATTTCGGATCGATATAGATAGGTATGTATATATATATATATATATATAGGCAATATGTATATCAGAAGAAAGATATTCGAAAGATCTTTGATTTTATATGCAATACATCTAGAAAAAGAATTATATGTTTAAGATGTATGTATATCCAATAAGATATGGATTTTTTTTAAATTTTTGTAATTTAAAAAGAAATATATTAAAATATATTATGGTAGAGTATACATATAAGATTCAGCGTAGCTTAATTTAACTTGTTTTCATTAACCCTCTCGTTTTTAGGTTATCTTGGTAAAAGTTTAATTGAAAAACTCTTGCGAGAATGTCCTGATATATCAAAAATGTATCT